AGAGCAGGCCAATATGCAGGGGGCAAAAAACAATGCAATTGTTTTTTCTTTGCCAACATTTTGTTAAGTACTGCAAACGTGAAACAAGTATGTCAGTTAAAATGTTCCCATCTGGCTCATTTATTCTCTTTAAACGTAGCTGTACGTCAGCCAGCTTCTCTTGCAAACACATTTCCCGATCTTGCTGGAAGTTGCTTGCTATTTTGATATTCTGTTGCTGTTCTTGCAGCTCTGTTTAGGACCAAATGGCTGTTTTGCCTTTTTTTTTAATACAGCAGTGTGTATGTCAGTAAGATATAACACGAACTTCCGTGTTCAACATTAAATGGACACAATCACCCTCTCATACTCTTCCTTTGCCCTTATCTCTGTGGGAAGCAGGCGCAGAAAGAGACACGTGTTACAGAACTTGCCGGCCTGCACACGACTTGCTCCAGTCCTTGGGAGAGGTCTGTATCAGACTTGGCAGAGCACAGAAATTTGTTCCAGACTTGTCTTTAACGTAGTATTGAGGCCGCAGCTCCATAGTGTATGTTGCCCAGTATAAATAGCACGATAATCAATAAGGACTTATACAAATAGAGAAGAAAACCGCCTTCTCTCCCTCAGGCTAGGATGTGGTGGTGTTCATTAGTTTGTATAAATAGGACATACGGATATGTTCCTTGTAATCCTCCTGTTTCCATGTAGTAAAGTCAGTCTTGACTTCTGGATAGGTTGAATAATGTGCCTTTATGTGCAAGACTCAGAGATTGCTTGGGTCACTGTGAAGCTTCCTTTCCACTAAGCTGAACAAGTTTAGGATTTTGCTTTGTATGCACGTATAGTGTAGATATATGCAAATCTTTCTGCTTTCGCTGTTTTTTTTGCATAACAGATGTACCGTATCGCAGTGTATGACTGATCATGTACTTCTTTTACTCTAAACTTCTTCGTAGTAATGTTACCCTCACCAGATTTCCTCGCTGAGGATGTCTGCACCTGCTCATACATACACATAATCGCATCATAATGTGTATTTGTATATGCAGAAACACAGACTTGGTTCTACATGCACGGGTCCTGTGGAGGCAGAAGTGGCCAGCAGGCAGGCAGTGGTGCTGGAGGTGTTGTGGAGCAGGCAGGAGCAGCCGGCGGGCAGCAGGGCACGCTGAGTCCGTCCCTGTAGACGCGCACTGTGTTTGGCACGGTTTGTTTATCCTTGCCTTAGGGCTCACATAAACTAGAACTGATAAACTGTGTAGATTTCCTTGTTACAGATTCTTGAATTCTCCCTTATTACTTGGTGTGCTTATAAATAACATTTTTTTTATTTTATGAATTAGGATTGAAAGCACTGGGGCTCCTATTTAATTACATTGTGTTTCTTATTACTGCCAGACATTCACCACAGCTGGAAGCACTGCAGTGACTACTGAAGGAATTATGCCCTAAGTGGAGTGTGAAGCAGAAATCCCATTGTGCTGTTCTCCAAAGGTTCATGTGAACTGTCTGCTGTAGGTTTGCTCCTTCAGTTCTGGTATTGAACATGTCCTGTTCTGGCAGTACTGCCACTTAGCAGGGCTTACACTTTAAGCACTCTCCTAAGGCTGGCTGCTCTTCTAAGCCAAAATGCCTTAGAACCATAGACTGAATTTGGCTAAAGGACAAATCTGCAGGGGCAGCCGCTTTTGTGCTGCGGTCCGTGTGCATTCTGCAAGAAGGGTTGGCGACAGGGCACCAGAACAAGCAGTGAGTGGTTGATAATGGCTGTGGTGTGCACAGCGAGGATCAGAGAAAGGCCGTTCTGTGTGTCTGCTCAGTGGTAGGAATGAGGGCAGGGAACATCAGGCAGCAGTACGAGGTGGAAGGCTGCAGCAGATAAGGGCAGAGTGCAGCAGTGGGAGAAAAAGCAGCGCCTGGAGCTCAGGGCTGGGTGGCATGTTTGCAGATAACACGTGTGGCTTGTTGAGGCTGTTTAAAACAATTTCTCCTACAAACTGATTTTTGACAGCGATTTAATTGCTGGTTTGCAACTGCATGTGAATTACTGTTTGAACTGTTGTTTGTATTTATCTTCCTCAAATATCCAGCGTTAATTCTGGAGCAGTAGGATCGTCAAGCTACCATGTATATTGTTCTGATCTGTAAATGAAAATAACCATTAGTTAACGTCCAATGGAGTTCATCGGCTAGATGTTTTGGCTGCGACTCTGCTTTATGTGGGCAGAATTTAAATGGGATTGGGGTCAGCAGTAATTCAGTCTGATCGAGGATGTGGGGTTTGCGTACTGCTGAGCTGTGTGCAGATTAGGAAAGGTCAGAGAACTTGCGTTAGCTGTAAATGAAAACAAAGTTGATCCATATCTCTGTTCTTTAATCATCACCTTGGCTGGGAATCGGTCTGCTTGAACAAGCGGGCAAAAGAAGGTGGCAGATGTTACCTAAGAGTTTCTGTACCTTTGACCTTTTATTCTCCCTTTCCAGTCGGTTGCAGAAAATGGGCTGCGTGTTTCCTGTGCCAGGATGTGCATCCCTGTGCCGGGGTGTATTGCTGTGCCTGCTGACCTCTGCCTACAGCTGGGCTTGGTGGAGGCAAATGGAAAAGCATCGCAAAATTCCTCTCGAATCATGGTCAAAACAGAGGCCTTATTTCTTAAATGATTAAGTCATGTCTTCATTTTCATTATGTTCTTGGCATGTGAATACAGAATTTGGAACTGCCTGCCCTCGGCTTGTTTTTCCATGTTGAAGGCATTCTAGCTCTGCTGGTGCTTTGTTCCACATGCAGCCCTTTGCCCATAGAAGCGCAGTGTCTGCTGCTTTGTGTGGGAAACTGAGCTCTACGACTCCTGTGCATCTGGTCTTACCTTCGTAGCACTGGTGTGAAGGAAATAAGCCTGAAGTCACAGTGACTGACTCAACTTCACATGTTTTCCTGTTGTTTAAAAAGATTTCTCTGCTAATTTTGGTTTTTACTGAAAAAACACTTTAAAATAGTCTTTATCACAGATATGTGCTTGTCTGCCCCATGCAGGTCTTTCAGAATGCAGTCTTTTCGCTTCTCTTTCTCCAAAGAATGCAAGGTAGGACAAAACGTGAAGCATGTGTAAGTGAATTGAGGATGTACAGCCTGGTGGAAAAAGGGGGTCATTTGGGATAAGGAAAAAACCTCTTAAACAGATCTCTGTCTTAATGGATTCGGAAGTTGCCTGTTTGCTTGTTAATGTGGGTCTTTTGTAACTGCTAGCTCAGCTGCCTGTTTGGCTTTGTGAAGAGCCTCCCATACTGTAGTTTTCAAATACAGAACTAAAACCATGCTGAGCTTTTCTTCTGCCCTGACAAGAGCTTTTATGTATGTGCAGTGGCTGCCTTCCATTTGCTAGCTTGTTCTTCAGCTCTGAGCAAAGCTGTGGATGTGTTAAAGGCAGGCAAAGCAGCCCCATGTCCTGGCAGCACCTCCGCTTACTGGGAGCAGTGTTGCTGCACCTCTGGGAGGGGTAACACATGTTGGTTCGTTGTTTGGCCTTCTCTTGCTTCAATGACAGAACGTGGTTTTGCTGTGAGAGAGATAGGGAGAATGGAAAATAGCGCCCTTCTTGATGCAGAGACCTCAGGCTCTTTGTCAGTGGCAAGTCAGTTGTGAATATAGATTTCCCCAAACAAACGTGCCCTATATGTATGTGCTGACAGTCTGTTAAACATCCTTGGCCTCAGCTGCTCTATCTGGTGGCTGTGGAGGTATGCGAGGCACGCAGAGTATTTTCTTGCAGGTACTGGCAATGATGGGTTAAGAATAATAACAGAAGAAATAATTACAGACTCTCTATTTTTTTTTTTTAAGTTACATATGAATGCACAGAGGCACATAACTGATGAAAAGAGCTTGCTTCAACATTAACTTGCTAGGCAATGTGCTTGGCATCGCTCTGTGCCTCTCTTTGCAGCCATCCAATCATACAGCAGTCCAAGCTGCCCAGGCATGGAGCCAGCCCTGCCTTTCAGCTGCGCTCTGGGGGCTGCCCTGCCATCAGTCACATCCCCCTGGGCTCCATCGGCCATCCCAGCAGCGTGTCCCACAGGGCTGTGCAGTGCAGGGCTCAGCAACAGCCTGTGCCCTCCTTGGAGCCCGGCCTTCTGCCTGCAGGGAGGAGCAGCTCCTGGGTGCGCGTCTGGAAAGGCTGGCAGCTGTGGCAGGGCCAGCGCTCGCGGTGTGAAAGCCTGATCTGGTTTCAGTGGATCGAGTCCATATTTCTGTTGTGCTCTCCTTCTAGGAAAAAAGCAGCAGAGTATTACTAGGAGCAGGAAAGGTGACGGGTGGGATTTAAGGTAGCTGGGTGACGCTGGTTGGTCTTTTGATCTCCCGGTGCAGGGAGCTGAGCAGCTGCTCGCGGTTGATTTCCTGAAGAATTGTGTTGTTAGCTGGAAAGTAGTGGAAAAGAAAGCGGTTTGTATTGGGGTGTATGGAAACGAGGTCTTGTGGGGTTAAAATACATGAAACTGAAATGAAACGTTTTTGTTGTGATTACTTTTTCCCCTTCTGTATTAATTTCCTGTTTATATAGAACTTCATGGAAATGCAGCTTTTTTAACTGGAGATGTGATTTCTTTCCTGTCTGAATTGTATTTATAATGATATAAAATAGGGAAGAATGGAGAAACTTTCTTTTTTGTCTTTCTTCACTTGGGTGTTTGATTCAGAATGTAACCAAAAATACAATGCCGAATATATTTGTATTTAAAATACTTCTGGGTGCAGAAATGCCAAGAGTTAATTAAAGCAGTGCTGAAAAATATTTTCTTTCTGAAATCATAACCATGAATTAAACCAAATGGATAATTAGGAATCAGAGTTAGACCATACAGCCAAAAGGCAGAAAAAGGTTTCTAATTATCTTGTAATTTAAATACATCTTTCATTCAAAGAAAGGCTGTGAGAAAGGCTATTTTTAGGCTGAAGTTTTGCAGAGCCCTGTGGTAATGCAGTGTACCTCTAATAAATCTGTTCTCCTTTGTTTCAGAGATTTCCAAGTGCTCATCTGAGAAGCTTGCTGTCTGTGTTTCTCCCTGTGTTGCAGCCACTGGGGCTCTGTGCTGTAGCTTTGGATGGCTGGTAGGGGTGTGCTTGCTCCAAAAACATGACTGTGTTTTTTACCCTTGTGATGGGACTCTGCTGTTAGTGGTTTACTTAAAACAAAGGCAGACGCTGGCTGTGGTGCTGGCTGGCCAGCTGAAGCTATCTGGGGTATTTCAAGTATTTCTGGGTTTTCACTGACAAGGATAAAAACATCTGTAGCTGTCTGTCCTTAAAGCTGCCTGCTTCTGGCTCAGCTATCCCTCTTGGAATTCCCAGGGTGTTTGGGAATGCTGGCATTGATGGCATGTAGCAGTGCCATCATTGGCTGTTTCAGACCTCGTGTCCTTGTAACATGAGGTACTGCAGTGGATGTTATCTTTGATAGAAATGAAGTTAAACATCAACGCAAGGAAAACAGAATCGGGGTACAGGAAGACTGCATGTCTGTTTCATTACAGGATATGCATGTCTTCGTTCTGCAGAAACTTTTCATCCATTTATTCAGTGCTTCAGTATATCCTGAGGACCATTCTTTCCTCTAAGAAGTTGGTTTTATTCCACTAAAAAGCTGCAGTTAAGGCTGCCCTACGCTTTGGGGGAGACGGCAGTTGGTTCACGCTGTGCTGCCTCTCAGCACGGCTTAGGCTTGCTGTGAAAGGAACTGCAGAACTCCCCTTTGAGTTCCAGCCTTGTGTGTGAGCGGTGGTTTTGTTGTATCCCCACTGGAACTGAACTTAAATCTGCTTAAACCCCAGCTTAAAAATGAATTCTAAATCATTAAACTCCTTTACGAGCATTTAGAAGGGAGTTTGGACAGGCTGAGCTGAACGGATCATAAAGGATTGCTGCTAGAGAGGTGTGGGTTGTGCCGGGGCTCAGGCTGTAATATAAGACCACATTCCTTTCCTGTGAGCTTTACTGTATGACTGCTGCCAAGTCACAAGAGTCCATAAAGGCACTTGCAAGCTGATAGACAGTGAAATCCATAGAGAGCATCTGGAGGGAAGCAGGCTGCTGGACGGGAAGGAGCGTCCTCTCCATTCAGCGTGTGAAAGTCCATTGCTTGAAGCATTTGTGTCTGGTATCTCACATCCCTGAGCTAGGTCTTGAAAGCAATTGCTCTTTTCAAGAAGCCTATACAATCCACAGCGAGGTGATGAAGATCATATATCTCAATTGTTTTCCTATTTAAAAAAATCCAGCAAAACTATTACACAGAGCAGGCAGACACCAAGCTTGGTAATCTGGCATTGTAACACTTGCTCTTCTGTTTTCTCTCAGAGAAAGAGTGTTCTCTTTATTTCATTCTATCTTCTGGCTTTTGTCACCAAAAGCACCAGGGCGCCCTGCACCACAGCAGCTCCTGGGAGCGCTGCTGCTGGGCTCCACAGCCTGCAGGGCCAGCGTGGGCAGCCCTGCTCAGCATTCCCTCAGCATTCCCTCAGCATTCCCTTTTCTTGCTTGTCCTGGCTGTTGAGCGATAAGGAACACACAGAAGTAAGCAGGAAGCAGTTTCTGGAATCGCAAATTGCTGCTCGCAGTTCTCTGTGCGTTTTCCATGTAATGACAGAAACGTTCAGTTTTTCTTCTCTTGCTTTCAGTCTGCACTTTCAGCAACTTTGTCTTTCCTCTCCTGGGAAGATTTGAATGAAGATGTAAATGATACATAAGCCCACTGACGAGTCCAGGAGTACCTCTTTAATAGCACTCCCTAAAGCCAGCTGAGAAGCAGCTGTGCTCCTGCACGTTCCGTACAGCTCATCTTTGTCTCCGTGGCCATCCAGTGAAGTGCCATGCTGACTTCCAGTTTCAGGTGCTTGCAAGGCCTTTCCAAAGGCAGGGGAACCGCTGGGCAGGGCTGTTCCCAGCTTGGTGCAGCACGCGATGCTCGGCCTGCTGCAGGACGGCCCTGTGACTCCACAGCATGTTTCTCCTGCGTGACTTGAAAAGTATTCAAACTCACTGCTAACATCCATAAAACAGCTCGTTCCCCACAGCAGCTCTGCTGGGCAGAGTTTCTGCCTTGGGACCAGAATTGCTTCTGTAGAAGAATGCCCGTTTCAAGGTCGCAGTCACCTTTGGTTTGATTTCTGTATAAAACCAGTCTGATTTTGAGGCCAACTGAAAAGCAGTAGTAATGTTTTGTCTAAGGGGACTCGTGTCATAGATAAAAATAATCTCACAGGGCTGCTCAGGCTGAGTGCCTTAGCTGTTCTCTGTCAGACAGAGGCCTTTGGCAAAGCATCACTTTGTCTGTCCATAACTTTCCCCCCCTCTTTTTAAATTCAGACTTTCTCTCTCTTGGGATTTGCTTCCTGGCTCGAGAAGTGTCTCTCTGTCCTCATCTTTTTTCTCGTTAGTCAGTGTTGTATGAATTCTCACACATCTCTGCTTCTGATATGCTTGTTTAAGATGAAGGTGTTTCTTTACTTTCTTGCCATACAGCCTTCTACACACCCCTTCTCCTTTTTTTTCTTCCTCACACCTGCACTTGCCAGTTCTTGAATTCCACCTGCCAGAACTCCGTTTGCAGACTGTGCAGTAAATGTGCTTTGCAAACTGTGCCTGTGCAACACCTTGCAGTACTGAGCCCTGTGCAAGCACACAGCTGTGCCAGTGTGCTGGGGCTCAGGTGTGCTCCTCTGCTGCAGGAGGAAGCGCTCTGGTGTGTTACTGTAGGAAATGCAGGGCAGGCTCAGTGTTAGGGAAGAAACTCAGATCCTCTGCCATGGTGTTCACTGACCTGAGCCCCTCAGAAAGGAGCTCTGCATGGACAGCTGGAGATGTGCGTTGTGGAGGAGAGGGAGTAAGCTGAAGAGAAATCTGACCTTCTGGTTCTGTTTCCTATTGCATCAATGATGCAGGAGATGTAGCACAAGTGGGGCTGGGTTATGTGCTTCCCTGACCAATCCTTAATATAATGACTTCTGGACCACTTCCAAAATTGCCTGAGTTAGATAGGCTACAAAAAAAGAAATCAAACATGCGAGAAGAAAAATTCCTCAATACTGTCGTATTGTTGTGTCCCAGATTTTTGTTTGGTATCCATTTTCTGACACTGGCTTACACTTCGTTTTGCAGAAGTCACTCCGGATACTTGCATTTTCTTTCTTTCTGATGCAAAATGATGCTCAGTGGTGATAGGAAAAACCAGCAGACAGAGGCAGGGTTGGAACGAAAGATGTAGATGTAGTTCACTGCCTTGTCAGGAGGCTTCCTCATTGCTCTGGACATGTCCTTGATGTGTTTGAGACCCAGCAATAAAGTGGGAAGAGTTGCAGAGGGCAGTGACAGAGCTGGAGCTCACCAGGTAGGAAGATGAGGACTTTGAAGAGATGCTTGAGTTGTGTTTGCAGTCGCTGTGCTTTTAGCAGAGTTGCTGTGTCTGAGTGCTGAGATGTGCTTAGGGGTTTTGTGGACTTGTTTTACAGATGTGTGTGTACGTGTATGTAAAAATGTGTGTATCTGGTCAACATTATTTTGGTAGAGCTATATGGATTCTTATGCATTGCATATTTAATTGCATTCCCTGTTAATGGGCTCCTATCTTAATTAATGTAAGGTTCTTTTAGGGAAGCAAATGAGATCAATTTGAAGATCTGCTGAAGAAGAAAGATAATGAGTTCTGCAAATGATGGTGTAGTGGATGAGAAGATGGATGGATTTAACAAAAGTTGGATCTGGGCTGTGGCCTTTCTTTTTAAGGATCTTTCAGGAAGCAGAGCTGTAAAGGGGCTTTGAAGTTCTGTACAGTAGGTTAGGAAATAAGCCACAGCCAAGGTGATGGAGGAGCAAAGGGCTCAGATAGTATGATAAAAGTTATTTTCTGATGAGAAGATCACTCAAATGATGGCTAGAAAGTATGAACAGAAATCTGACTGAAAATGAGTTAATTGTAGAAAGTTATGCTTGAGCTTAATGAAACTGTACTGCTGAATTTCAGCACAGTCGACAGACTGAATCCCGACGGTTCAAATGTGTTTGAGTTAACTGGCAGGTTCAGGGCTGAACCTAAGAGCTGGAAAGGAAAATGCCACTTGTTCAGTGTGTTTAGGTGAGGAATGACCTTATGAGTGCTGATACTGACCAAAAGGGGATGAACTCCTTACACGTGGCTTGGAGAGCTTATTGTGCATTGTACAATGCCATGGAAAAGAACTGGTGAAATGAGAGAGCAGGTTCTCATGCAGCTCCCCTGGGCATGCAGTCAAACTTACCATTAGGTGCAATTAGTCATGGCCAGCCAAAATCATGGCCTTCTTGATGTCAGTACAAAACTCCTGCAGTCTTTCATGGTGCCAGGACCTCACCCGTTACATGTATTGATGCATAGTTTCCACTGGAGAAACCTCAGCCAAGAAGCTCAGTGAAGTGTGGAGTCAAAGTAGAGTACAAATGGCAAACTTGAACTTAAGGAGGAGAGGCATGCTTCAGTGTCAGCTCGCTAGAGAAAAGCAGATAGAAGCTTCCATGCCTCACACGCTGCATCTCCCCTGATTCTGTTGCTATGGCATTCATCACATTCCAGTGTTTGTCATGCAGCAAAGGGAGAACGTGGTGCATCACTCTGGGTTCTCGGCTGTCTGGGTGCCTGGGTCAGCTCCAGCATTTCTGACAGTCAGCCCACTTCAGGTGAGTCAGTACGTAGGGCTGAGGTATTTAACAAGAGAGGTGCAGGTTTCACCACCTCAGCCTCCACTCAGGGCAGGTGCTCTGCTGGGCGCAGGGTCTGCCTGGTGCACGGCAGGAGGGAGCTGTGTGCTGCTGGGAGCCCCTCCATCTCTGTCAGTCATTAAGGAAAATGGTCAGGAACGCAGTGGTTCTTCAGGGTTTCTCAGTATTATTATTTTTGATAGAAACAGAAAGTTCATGCCTCCTTTTTGTTCTTTTTTTTCTTAACAAGGAAGAAATGTTAGCTCCTTGGAAACATGCCTGCAGTAATGACTGCCCCTTCTCTGTCACTTATTCAGGCGTTGTCTGGGCAATGTGCAGGCAAAGAAGGAAAAGAAGAAGAAAATAGCATCCTTCAGCTTGAGAGACGTGGTTGTGCAGGCTCCCAAGCTTTCTGTCGTTTCTAATAGCAACCACAAAATATCTTCAGCTGTGGCAAGCATTGCTTCAGTCCTTTTGTTTGGCAGTGTTCGAAGCACCTTATCTTCCTGCTAGGCTCTTTAAATAGCAACATCTTCTGAACTATTTCTCTTCAGTTATAGGAGTTTGTTCTGCGTTTTTCAGACTGTTCTCCTATGGGAAGAGCATTGTTAGCAGTAATGAGATGAAATTCACTTTCAGGCATGTAAATGGAATATTAAAACTGGAAAAATACCTATAGAAATAAGTTGGAGATGGGTGGACTTGATTTTTGATTTCGCAGTTCTCTTTTATGATTCTGATTCACTGCACATTGTGTGAACAGAACATGCAGGTGGGTGTGAATTTTGGAAAGTTTGGTAACTTCAGTAGAAATAACACACCTGGCAGCAGACAGGCCTTGTCACCCAGGGCCTCGTTATCTCCATTGAAGTCCCTGCGAGCTTTGTAGTGGAAGTATCGTAGATACAAAGCTTGTTGGAAAATTAAAAGTAACCAGAAAGGAGTTCAGATAATTCTATTGAAGTAAGACAGGGCTCCCATATGTCAATTTAAAATCCCCCCACCCCCCTCCCAGACTCGATCAGGATACTGAAATCTCAGGTTCTCCCTGCTGGAAGATTCTCAGGGGATTCCCTTCATTCCCAGTGAATGGTGGGCGCCAGGCAGCTGCTGGAGAAGGTCTCTGGATCCACTTCTGATGCAGCGAATGCAGGATCTTGCTTTATGTGATACTGCATACAGTGGAAGCACCAGTTACTGCTGTGTCCCATTAGCTTACGCTGGCTGTATCTGAAGGACCCCAGAGGCACACTGATGGCTTGGAGTGAATTGCAGTCTGTAGCTGTTAGTGTGCACAACTGGCTGTTACTGGGAGCTGCTTCAAGGCAAGGGACAGGGAGAGAAGAACTTTGCAGTGAAACTTTTTTCATACTCTGGCTAAAACAAAGGCCGTCAGAATGCCGGCATTAACAGATTCTTTTTTCCTACTGTGCAATCTGTTTTTTTCTCCTGAAAGCTTTTTAGTTAATGCTACAAAGCATTAACTTTTGCTGATTATTGTAACAACAGCAAAAACAACTAAGAGGGAAGTGGGAAGAACCAAGGAACATACCTCTTGCTGATTGATTTGTAGTTACAATTCAGCTGAACATTGTTCAGAATACAGTTGTGCTGAAAAGAAAGGGCAGGGGAGGCAGGAGGGGAGGCTGTGTCCCATCCTGGTGGCTGTGAGCGCAGATGCCTGTGCTGCTGGAGCAGCCCCTCCAGCACAGCCCTCCTGCTCGTGGTAAGAGGCACCGCTGCCTTGCTGGGTTCACATCCCTGCCACAGAGGGGAGAACAGCAAACGTATCTGACCGGGCTGCATCCAGTCCTTTGTGTTTGTGGTGTCCTCTGTCCCTGCTGTTGTTGTGAGACAGTGAGAGCCCTATTCATTCGTGCATACTAATTATGATAGAGACTTGCGCTAATCTGAGAACAGTTGGCTCATTTTCAACTAACTGTAAACAGGCTGCCTGAAGTCACGAAGAGAGTCTGAAAAGAACACTATTGATAGTGATATTTCCTAGCTGCCAGTTAATGCAGCGGAGCAGGGCTGAGTGCAGATGGCAGAGCAGCCCTGGAGCTGGGCACAGCTCTGAGCCCTGCTTGTGCAGGAGGGCAGTGCCACACAGCACAGCTCCCAGCAGCTGTGCAGGGTTGTTCTGCTGCATCTGTGAGCAAAGCTTTTGCTTCGCATCTCCTCATACCCCAAAAACAACTGGGACAGAGTACTGATAAAGGTACCATATGCCATGAAAAACATGCTGAATGAGCAGCTAACCATCTGCATGTGGCATCAGAAGAATACAGGGAGTAAGAACAACGTGGCGGCAGCTTTGTGCGCTGCTTTGTGGTTTGGTAGCCAAGGACCAGCCCTGTAAAGGCTCCAACCACTGTCAGACTTTGGATATATTGAAGCTTTATGGGTACATGTGAGTACTGAGCACAGGAAGGGCAGCTCTGGAGTGGCCATGAGCACCAGCATCCAGCTTGCTCTGTTAGCAGTGCACTGAGATCTGTGGCAGAGGTAGTGATGCTCGGAAGCACACTCTTGCTTTGAGTGCAGGGGGGGATGAATAAGCTTTCGTTCTCCTTGGTAGATTCTCAGGGAATAACCACATTCACCACTGAGCTTATCTGTGCGTGCCTTGCACTCGTCCGCCTGGTAACAGCCATGATAAGCACTCTGTGGGGGGTTGTTGCAATTTGGTGGCAGCTGGGCCCAGAAACGCTTTCTGCTTTGGTTTGAATTCGTTACAGCAGCTGGGGGATTGACTTGGTTTGCAGTAGGTGTTCACGGCTGAACTGGTGGCCCCACGGACACAGCTGGGTGCTGCTCTCACAGGTTTCATTGCTGTGTGCAGTGCTGGGGGGGGCTGTGCTGGGGAGAGACACTGTGTGCCATCTGTGAGAGCCCTGCAGGTGGGCACGTTCAGCTTGGTTAATTTGTACTGATCTGACACTGAGAGCTTACTGGCTATGGGGTGTCAATAGTTACACCTCAGTTTCCTTGTTTTAAATTACATAGTTGATTCTACTTTCATTACAGCTTCAGTTTACTGCAAGAGCCTGTTTCTTTAACACTGTGCGTGAAACTGAGTGCTGAGGTGGCCCTTCAGAACTAGGAATTATCCTTGGAGTTGCATCATATTTAATAAGTACGTATAACTCAGTAATCTTGTAAAAGCTGATTACCTCGATTATTAATAATTAGGATTTATAAGTTAAGTAATATGCTGCAACTGTGCCCTACTGGCAGATCCATAGGGAAAGCTGAGAGATTATTTTAGAAATGTTCTTTATAGCTGCTGTGGAGGGCGGTGCAGTTCTGAGTGACGAACGGGCATTGTGCGGTGTGGGTTGTGTGAAGGTGCTGTGCCAGCGTGGCTTCGTCTCAGCAGCAAGGATCACATCAGGCGGTTTCAGCGTGCTTTGCTTCGTTTTATTCTCATAAAGATTCTGGTTAAACGTAGTTACAGAGGTGCAGCCCCGTGCGTGCACTGCTGAGCCCGGGGCTGGCAGCGCCCTGTGCCGCACATCCCCACTGCTGGGACGCATCCCCTGCCGCGAGCCGCCCAGCCTTGCTCCTTTGGGGCTGGAATCTGGAGAAAGCAAGGTTGTGCCCTGCACGTGGGGGCAGAACCTCTGCTGCCCCGAGCTGCTCTCCTGAAGGTCGCTGAGATGTGAACGCGGAGGGCATCGAAGGCGGCACGGACGGTGCCACGGCGTGCGGAGCGGCCCGGCCCGGCGCTGGGCGTCCCGAAGCGGAGGGCCGTTCCCGTGCCGCATCCCCGGCAGGTGCGCTGGCGCGAACCGGCGGGCAGCGCCGTGGAGCTTACCGGAAAGCTGCCGCCATCGCCGCGCGGTCCCGCCGCTCCGGGCTGCCGCCGCGAGCCGAGCGCTCGTGCGGTGCTCCGCGGGAGGCTCGGGGCGGGCGCGGGGAAGCCGCTCGGCGCGTTGCCGTCACCGGCAGCCCGCTGGGACGCGTTCTCACGTTAACGCCGAGCCGAATTACCTCGCTTTGCCGGAGCCGTGCGGGGCGCGGGCAGCGGTGCCTGCGGGGCGGGAGGTGGCCGTGCTCGGGCCCCGGCGGCGCCGCGCGGAGGTGAGGCCGCGGGCGGCGAGCGAGCCGGGCCGGCTCCTCCTCCTCCCCCTCCTCCTTCTCCTCCTCCCCCCCCCCCCCCCTCCCGTCCCGGCGCGGGGTTGCGGCGCTCGGAGGGCCGATCCGCGGGGCGGGACGCGGCGCTTCCGCCTCGGGGGAAACGGCGATGGACGCGGGCGGCGGGGCGCTGGGGAAGAGGAGAGGCACCGCGCGGCCGCACGGCAAATCCCGGCCGCAGTCCTGCCAGAGCCCCAGCGGGCTGCTCGTCACCGACTTCCCGGTGGAGGACAGGTGCGCCTTCACCCTCGCGCAGCCCGCGGCCACCGTCAGCGCCGCGCGCCGGGGGGGTTCTCCGCGCCTCCCCGCCCGCGTGGGCTCCGAGCCGCCGGCCGGGCTGCTAGCGCTGCTCTCCAGCGCGTCTCTCGGCTTCGTCGCCAACGGCGCTTTCCCCGGCGGCCCGCCGCCCCGAGAGGCTTGCAGAGAAGCCGAGGGTGTCTCCCGTGCCGTGACCCCGGAGCGAAGCGTCGCAGCCCCGGCCCCGCTCCCCGAGCGGCTCGCCGTCACGCTGAGCACCAACAGCCCCGCCGCGCTCAAGGTGGGCACGCAGCAGATCATCCCCCGCAGCCTGGCGTCTGGTAGCAAGGCGACCCACAAGGCTGGCGGGCACGGCGCGGACGCGGGCAGGAGGGTGCTGAAGGCGCGCAGCATGGTGGAGAGCCCCGGGGTGCCGCTGGGCGCCGATGAGGAAACCGAGGGTGAGCCGGACAGCCCGGGCGTGCTGCGGCGTGGCCTGCGCTCCACCTCCTACCGCCGGGCCGTGGTGAGTGGCATCGACCTGGACGGCTCCGCCAACTTCAAGAAGAAAAACAGAATGTCTCAGCCCATACTGAAGGCCGTTGTTGAAGATAAAGAGAAGTTTTCCAGCCTGGGGAGGACAAAGGTAATTGTGCTGTGCTGCGGTGCATTGGTTTGGGTGCTGCAGGTTACACACGGGCGCAACTCGTTGCCTCCGTTTCTTCTGTAATGCTCCTTTATTTCCAGTTTTTTTTTTGCTACCAAAGCCTCTTTGTAATTGCTGGCGAGTCTGCAAATGGCTTGAGGTGGTGCTTCCAAAGCAGCAGCAGGGATGCTCCAGGCAGCTCCCAGAGTGTGCTGCCAGCCTGGTGCTGCCCTGGCCCAGAGGTTCTGTGTCACAGTCCATGATGCTTCAGAACCTGCAGCCAGATAGCAGTGAACAGGAAAAGAGGCTCTGGTTTTGTTAGGTTGTGATTGCTGGAGCAAATAGACAGAAAAATAAGCTTCCACCTTGCTCGGAGGCACTACTTTAAAAGCATTTGAAGAAATCAGAGCACGGCTTTCAATGGAGCAGAGTGCCCAGCGTTAATTCCTGATGAGCCCTAGGGATGGTACGTTTCTGTAGAGTGTTAACACATTAAAATTTCATTATTGAGCCTCATTACAAACAATTCTTAAACGTCATACTGTTCTGATCTTGTGGTTTGTTTTTTAATACGATTTGTTACTGTTATTTGACATAGCAGTGGATTTGTGCAGCGTTATGGAATCGTGCAGTAGATCCTTGCAGAGGGCTCATTTGCAGCTGCTGAAGTCCTTATCAGCTTTGTGGCAGTTTTTGCCAAATTAAAGATGATGGTTTTGGAGGCTTCTGTGAAGGTGGGAGCGGTGGTGAAGCAGTGATAGATGAGAGCTGCTCCTGCAGGAGGGGTTGGCTGGAGCTGTGCACAGTTCGACCGGGAGCAGCAAGGAGCGGAGTCTGAGGCGGGATGCCGTGACACTGCCTGACTGCACACAGACTTGTTGCCAGTAGCACTTTTCTGTGAAAACTGACTTAATGGGCCCTGCAGCACCACAACAGCCGTTCTGTTTCAGAGCTCTGTTTTGGTTCTCAAAAGCAGTGTTTATGAAACTCTTCGTGTGGCTCTTTGCAGTGTGCAGAGCCCCGCGCGGCTCAGACGGAGCCTCGTGTCTCCTGGGGAAGCCCTGAGACTGAGCCGTGCGCTGGCGGAGCCCTCGTGGTAGTGATGCACGTCATGCTTTGAAAGCGTGAGGAAAATAAAACGTTTGGGACAAATGGATATAAACAGCGTGAGAGGAGGGAAGTGCGGAGCAGCCCTTTGCTTCTGTGATGAAACAGTTGTATTCATGAACACGTGTCTGACAGAAGAGGTTTCTGGAGGAGGTCCTGCTTAGTCTGTGCTTAAGTATGGCGTGAAGTTGTTACTGGTGGTTATTTTGTTTTCTTTTAACGTGTTTATGTCTCTTTCCTACTAAAATTACTAGAAGAAAACGCTGAAAGGACAAGGGACGTTTGATGGGGAAGGTAAGCCTGCTTCTGTACATTAAGAGGTGCTTAATGATAAGCAGAGTGAATCTAAACATAATTTTGCACAGTTCCTTATTACTTGATTACACCAAATACCTTGTTTGCCAATAAAGTCGCTGTAAAACGGAGCCATAGTTCTGGCACAGCCGTTCTTTAATGGATACTTTAAAGAATATGGAACGATGGGTTACAAATGCATTTTGTTTGAAGAATTTCTTCTCAACTTAAGCTCCTGTTCCTCTTAGAAGATGAACTGGCTGATGTGTCTCAGCCTTAGCAGACCTGCAGAGGAGGTGTAGGTGAGGCTGTTTTTCCAGCTGGCAGACACAGCTCCCACAGGTCAGCCTCAGGGTCAGCGCTTGCAACAAATGCCTGGATTGTTATTCTGAAAGTTCAAGGCTAATGCAGCTTTTCCCCCCTTTACACTAGGAGCAGAATGCTGGTTCCACTGCAGTGAATCCCTTGACTTTGTAAATCCTGTACTTTTTTTGCTACCTGGGCTTCAAATTTCAGTGTCAGAGAAAAGCTGCCCGTGTAGCTGCCCTCTCTTGTCACTCGTTAGTTCAGAGCTTCCTCGGGTTTGCTGCTGACAGTATTCAACTCAAAGAACTTTTTGCCTGGCAGCAAATCTGTGGCTGTCGCAGTGAAACTGCTGTCATACGACTGCTGCTTCCCTTGGCCCTGCTTAATGCCCTCCTGAGGACATCTCAGCTGCTGCCTTCCCTTCCCTTTCCTCTTGCTTCCGTCTTCCAAACTTTACGCTGTGTCCTGTTTGCATCTCTCTGTTTCTTATTCTCATCTTTTCTTGCATTGTCTTCTAATTACTTCCCTGGGTTCTGTAGTGCCTCTCAGCATGCAGTTATTGTAAGGGATTTCCTGTCTTCAGAGTATACAGATTACATAGATGCGTTCCAAGGAGCAAACAGCAGCCCGGTGTAGCGCCGGGCCGAGGGGCAGAGCAGAGCCGTGCGGTGGGAGCTGATGGCTGCAGGTTCGGTGCAGTCTCTGTACATTACTCAGCTCCTAAAGCACCCTGTCCTTTTCTGAACGCTTTTGAAAGAGCGACCAGGAAGGTTGGGAAAGGCAAAGGGCGTGCTGCTCGTTGCCTTTGTTGCTAATGGGCACTGCTGAAGCTGTTACAAAGTATGAGAGTTAAAATTCATAGGCTTTATTCTTATTCAGGCAACCTTTGAAGTTTCTGTTTGGAATAGTTTTGCCTTGAGGTTTCTGAAGCCTGGGTCATTTCCCTCTCTTAGTGAGGTGGGAAGGCAGTATTTAAAGCTGATGGAGTAGAAGGGGGAATTGGTATTGGATTTACAATGGCCTTTCTGATGAAAATAGCTAGACCTCCTGATTGATGACTGCTCTGCTGACAGCTCGGCCTGTTTTTTAATTGCTGGCTAATTATGAAACGTCATACAGCAAACCAGGACGAAAAAATTGTTTTCTGTTTTTTTCTTGACAAAGGACGCATCTGTTCTTTAATGCAGCCAGTGTGGATCTTTTTGGTAGTGCCACAGTGATCCATTGTTACTGTACTGCTCCATTGTCCATCCAAAATAAGATGCAGTCTTTGTCTTTGGGAGTTTTTGAGCAGCACGTTGACGTTGTCATTTCGTTTGTTGTTTAAGTGTGACTTATTTTTTATGAGAAGCAACTAAATAACCTTGTAGCAATTGATGGCACATTGTTATTGCTTTATAGAGAATGCTGTGTTATATCAGAACTACAAAGAAAAAGCTCTGGACAACGATTCTGATGAGGAGTCTGAGCCCCGAGAGCAGAAATCGGATGAAAAGGTTATTTTTCCCTATAAGCCCCTGAGATCAACGTGGAGTCAGCTATCAGTTGTGAGTATTTAATCACTGCATAGCCAGACAAAGGCTGTCTGAGTTGCTCAGAATGCACTGAAGTAAATCTACTTGCTGCTGAGTCTTTTTTCCTCATCTTTTTTTCCCTTCCACAGTGTAAAGTTTCTGTGGGTACTTCTATCAACAAATTTGTAACTACTCAAATGTTACCAATCCAGGTTGTGGTTGTGCAGATTTAGATTTTGTTTGGATTTGTAAGGTAACACATGAGCTTAAAAAGCACAAATCATGTTCTCAGTCAATTTTAGTAGGTTTAGACTCAGGCTCGTGCCAGAATCATTTTCTGTGGTGCCACCTCTCTCTGTCATTTGCTGGCACAAGTGTGTGTAGGCTCACGAGGATACAGGATCTGATTTGAAGTGACCAGGAAATTTCAGTGTCGTTTAAAATGGAATTAAACAGAACTTTGAAATGCAGAGGACTTTGGGTTTCACAATCTTACACTTCAAGATATGTTTCTTTTTAAAACTATGCTGGCCAGAATAAATCAAGCACATCTCTTGTGTCTGTGTGTGTAGTCTGAGACCACCTGCTTTTGCCAGGCTCCAGAGATGGTGGCTTCAGCCCTGCCTGCAGGTGGTGTTGGCAGTGCTGGTCCTTAGAAAAGCTGTGGCTGTGAATGTTGAGTCAGTACTGGCTGTAGCCTGGGAGGAGGCTCAGCCCTACAGCGTGCTGTCAGTAGCTTGGGGCAGCGTGGAGTGAACCTTACATAGCTTTTAGTCCTTTCTTATTCTTTTCTTTGGTCCAGTGGCTGCTGGGACTACCTGCTGTGTTTACTTTAATAACTATTAACGCTGAGTAAGGTTTTCTCAGTCTATCCAGAATGTCTTTTTAGAAGAGCTGTCTTACAGGTGCTGTGACCTTGTGGTTCAAGGTATTGAAATATGAATATCTCCGAGTTGTTAATTACAAAGAAGCCAAGACAGTGTGGTTTTAAAAAAGATCTGCTTTGAATTTTCTTTCAGCAGATTGAGTACTTAAAATGTAGTTCATTTTGCTTAATACTGCAAAAACATTGTTTCTAATGAGGACAAATTGGTTTTCTTTTGCCTTCTAGGCAAACTAGCAGTTAGGTGCTCGACAGCTGAGGTATTTCAGAAGGAATGATACTCAGAAACAATGACTGCAAAAATGCTAATTTGTCTTGAGACTGAAGTAGAATTGTCTCAGTGAGAACCAGTGGTGTGTTGTGCTTATAATTACATAAACCAAACTCGTTCTTCACCATTTCTAACACGGCAAACTTGTTCTGTGTCTGCACTTGATTTACAAAGCTTGAAGTGGGAAGTAAATGGGAAGAGGTGCTCTGTGAAAATCAAGGGTGGGAACCTGGGAGTCTCGCAGTGTCTGTTTACAACTCTTGGGAAAAAGTGCATGTTGTCATTTTGTATTAAAAAGACTAAGTGCTGAATTGTAGCAGGAAGTCAGCTGGGAAATGCTGAAGCGTTGGGTTTCAATGTGCGTTAGGAAAGGCAGAGTGTAGGAGGTGTCTGCTCCTTGTTAGCAGTGACTGTGCTGGGAGACAAGGGGAACGACCACGGAGCAAATCCATCACCTGTGCAGGATATCTCTGGCCGTGCAGCCCTGACAGCTGATGTTGGTCTGCTTTTGGAGGTGAAACCTTCACGTTTGAGTTGTTAAAGCCTCCAGACTGTAATAAAAAGGTGCTCCTATCTTCTTGCAGTATCTACACATACGTGCAAGTAAGAGACTTCTCAAAGAGCTTTTGAGGTCTCTGAAGTAGGATAGTATTTAAATGCAGCTCCTTTCAAACTCCTCCTTTCAGCCCTCTTCCTCTTTAGGTTCCTGCGGCACTTTGAGCCAGCTTATCTGCTCCCTGTTCTTTGCAGCCTTCCTCCGGTGAAGTTTTAATTTGAAGAGAATAAAGAGTTTTTCTAAAATACATTCCAAAAGCATCTTAAAACATTTTTTTTAAGAACTCACAGCAATCATATGCAGTGGTGCTATCTGGTATCTAATGTATGACTGCCAAGAAACGCAGCGCTCAGCTGTGATGGATAATACCAGCGTGGTGCTGGGTGTGCAGGGAGCTGCAGGACCCAGCAGGCAGCAGGGCAAAGCCTGAGGTGGCTCTGCTGGAGTGCACTGCCAGGGGGATCCAAACAGCCCTCGCCTCCATGGGCCGCCTGTGCTCTCGTCTGACTGCATCTCCTGGTAGGCTGGGAACTGCAGTGCCTGCCTTTCCAGCTCCTCTGAGCCTGGAGAGCACACTGCACGTTTGCTTTTTGTTACTGCCGTCAGTGCTGCCCTGATTCCTGTCTGTATCCACCTTGTCATCTCATGTTTGTTTCCTCTTCTTTTTAGACTGCTGTGGGACAAGCACTGTTGTGATTTTCCTCTCTTGCTCATTAAGCAGGTTGCTTCTCTGAGCCACCCTCGCTGTGACCTTCTATGGCTGCCTCTTCCCTTTGGTGTCAAGCAACAGCTGCCTGCCTCAGGGCTGATCTCTGCATTCGCTCCCCTTTCAGAATCAGAAGGCTTGTGTCCATTTTCGTTTATGATGCAGCCACCATTTGTCAATGAAATATTTCCTGTGAGTCCTTTCCCCTGTGTAGCTGTTTCTTTAAAGGAGTGTCCTGTACCTAAGTGTGGGATTAACCCCTCATTCTCCTCCGTTCTTCCTCCTGCTGTCTGGTGGGCTCCATCGCAGCTGAGCTGTGGGCAGGAAGCTGTGCAGTCCTGGGGGGGCACAGCGGTGCTGGCCGTTGTGGTGTCCCTTGCAGCTTTGTTGTTACTGTCTTCTTAAACCTATATTGAGTCCTTGTGGATGACATAGCACCACAAAAGTGGTTTTTAGAATCTTAAAGCTAAAACATTTTGGGCAGAGTGGCATTTTTTTCACATAGCATGATGACATTGGTCTCCACATTTGCATCTCTTTTTGGAAGCTTGAACATTGGTTAATCTTGAGCCATTTTGCTTCTGCAGCTGATTTATATGTGCTTTTTGGTATGTGCAAACACATGTTTGCCACAACAGCAGTCACAAAACACAGCTTACGTTTCTGGAACGTGAGGTTAGCAGTTCCTGCATTGTCCTCGCTGGAAATTTACAGTTGCTCTATTAACAGGAAGCATTGTAATCTCTTGGATATCTTCATAGGTATTTCCTGTGTCAGCATATTTTTAGAAAAGCCCTCATGACATCCAAAAAACGGTCACTTCATTTCCTAGTGAGCACTTCCAAGCTTTCCGGTTGTTGATGGAGAGGTACTTCAGTAGGAAGGCAGCTAGCTGGTTCTTACGTGGTGCTTGAAGTCTATGCTTATGGTGAGGTATTCAGAAGAGCAGTTACTCAAATACGCAAATGGAGAATTTCTGTTTTCTTTGTCAATGTGAAATGCCAAGCAGTCTGCTGCAAATGAAGAACCATTACCGTGCTGCCATCCTCGCTGGTGAGCCTGGTGCCCGGCTTTGGGGGGATGCTGTGCAGGAGAGCAAGAGAGACTAATGCAGCCTTTAAAATTCCAAGGAGCAGGTGGAGAAGAACAAGCTGCTGCTGCTGGTCTGTTAGGAGCTTTTGGAGAAACCTGGTGGAAAGTGGGAGGATGGAGGTGCACCCGTTGAGTGTCTCAGGAGCAGCTGAGGTCCCGTCCAGACAAAGCTCTGCAGAACATAGTGCCTGTGCCCTGCTGCTGGGGTCACCTAGGAAGTGCACACAGCCAGTCCCTCCTGGGTTGGTCAGTGCTGTCCTGGCACGTGGTTCACACTGGGAAAGAATCAACTTGAGAAGTGTGGTGTGGGTTTGGTAGTGGAGTGTGTGGCCCCAGCTGTGTGATGAGCTGGCTCTGCATGGCTGGTCTGGCTGCAGGACATGGAGACAGGAGAAATACTTCTCACTAAAGAAGTTAGGCATCATAGGGCTGGGGATGGCAGCATCATGAGGCACTTACTCAGGACTTTGCAGGTCTTTTGAAGGAAAAGATTCCTCCAGAAGAATTTTTGACCAACTGGCACCTGTCTGAAAAGACCTTAAGGTGTGTTTCACAAATTAAGATACTAATGTGTTTCAGGCCAGTGCAGAAAATGCACCTTGTGATGTTTGGTGTTCCGACTGACACACGTACTTGAGAGGAGAAAAGAGTTCTTGTGCCTCACTGTGTGTGTGTGTGTGTGTGTGTGTGTGTGTGTGTGAGAGAGAGAGTTGTGCTTGAGTCCTACCATGGAAGTGCTGTGCTGGTTTTTAATTCCTTCTTTTTATTGTTTGGAGATATCAAATATTGTACATTGTTTTTATACATTTGTTTGTGATGGTTCATTGTTGTCTATCTCAAGTAGAATAAAATATGTATGAATTTTTAGTGCTGTACTTAAATTGCTTCTTAGCACAGCGTTCAAATAATTCTGCATATTTGATGTTTGTTGTCTCCAAACCACGTTTTTCTACAAGATACGTTAATGAATTCATTGTTTTGGTGTTTTTTTTTAGGTGAAAAAGAATGGATTATCAGAAGCGATCAGCCAGGAAGAAAGAAAGAGGCAAGAGGTATCTTTTAAAGAAAAATGTTCTTTTATGTTGATAACTCAGGGCTGCTCTGCATGTCTGGTTCGATGCTCTGCGTCGGTTCCGAAGGAGAGGAGCCCAGCACGCTGCTCCCTGCCCTGGGGGAGGCCTGCCCCTGCCCTGCTCAGAGCTGTGATGCACACAGTGTGCTCCTGCAGCAGGGCGCCTGCTTGGTGCTGCTCACTGGGAGCAGCGGCTGCGTAACACCAACCTCGTGTTCACAGAGGTGGGAGGCAGCACAAACAGGGCAACTTCTTGCGTTGCCCTTCAGCTGTAACTCACCTCGTGAGCCGTTCTGAATGGGGTCTCTGTGCCCCAGCATTCCTGATGTGTTTCCTTTTGCACTGAAATAAACTGGGAGCATCCACGCTGTCAGCAGTCAGCGCAGGAAGCAGCAGCAGTCACTGATGCAATTCTCTTTTCTCTCTGTCCCTTTCTATGTCTGTCTCTCCGTCTCTCTCCTTTTTTGCTCTTTTTGTTCTCTTTATCTGCTTTCCCCTCTCTCCTTACTTACAGGGGCTATGTCAAAAAGAATGAGAGGTGTTGAAAAGAATAGCCTGACCTAGCCAGCTATTATATCCCTGCAGCTCTTGAGGTATGTCCTTCAACAGAAAACAAAAAAAGAAAAAAAGCGATGTTCTGTCTTTTGGTTTGTTTTGGGGTGGATTTTTGTTGTTGTTTTGGTTTTGGAATAGCAGCACTGCAGAATTACCTGCTGTGGTGGTTTGCTCCAAAATCTCCATTTCACTTCAGGACGTACCTTGGTGAGCACAGTGGGGTGAGAGCTGAGTGGGGCTTCCCATGGTGCTCACAGGTGTGTGCAGGAAGCCTCACACCTGGTACAGCAGTGACCTGCAGCTGTGGTGTCCATATACAGATACTGAAACGTCTCCTGTGGCATGTGCTTGATGAAGACCATAGGGATTTTCTTTGTTTTTAATAATCCTGCATTTCCTTGGCTATCTTCTTTCACTTTTTGGGGCTGTGAGCAGTTGAGGCTGTGTGTTCTGCTCTTCTGTCCCCTCCTGCTCAGAAGCTCTGAGTCACAGGGCCTTTATTTTGGTCCTCATGTCCTCAGGAGCCTGTGGTCTGTATGTCCTGAAGCCATGTTTGCATCCCTTCAGAGACAACCAGTTCTTCAGCTGTCTTTTAAATACAAAGTCTTAAAATGTCACCAAAATAGTTTCAGCTTGAGGGTTTTTATTTGAATATTAGAGGCCTATTTTCACGATGTAGTTGTACTGTCAAGTTATGTATTTCTTTAAAATCATCTTTTATCAATTATTTTATTATTTCTTCAATTTGCTTTTTAGAGTCTGGTTATTTTTGCCATCATTATACGTTGTCACTGCAGAAAACCATAATTTTTTGTTTGAGAGAGTGTAGATTGGAAATGTGATGATGGGCAAAGGCCGCAGTGCCCTTCTCAGGCTCCTTTCTGCCTGTGGTCAGCCCTGCTAGCTGGTACATCTGCTGCTGGGGTGGGAGTACACCTCTGTTCTCCTGGGTGCTGAGGCGAGTGTGCTTGGTGAGCAGTTTCACATTAAGCATCACCTTTGCATATACTCCTGCACAGTGGTGTTTGCTCTCATGAAGAACATGGGGTGCTGTAGCTGCTGCCTTGCTGCTGCTGCATCTCTGCCTGCATTCCAGCAGCCGTTGAGGTAGGCAGGAGAATGGAGTGATGCTGCTGAGCCACGTGTTGGCCGGGCTTCCTTCCTTGTGTGGGCATTGTCCCTGTAGATTTTCTGTGAAGCTGATGAATCTTAAAGGCTTGAGCCCAACCTGATCAGCCTTAAGGGCTTGAGCTAAAACAGCTGCTGCTTCTGAAGAGGGCTTTTTAGCAGGGTGGGAAGCATTTTGAAGGTACAGTGTGGGAACACTGCATCTCATGTTATCTGGGAGAAACTGCATGTGATCAGAAGCTTACCTCAGCAACCAGCAGAATTCTCTAGACTTAAACTCTTCAGAGAGAATGTCCCCAACAGAATTTTTTAGTTTTTTTCTTTCCCAGCGTTGTTTGTGTCAACTGCAGGCTGGGATTATTCAGCATGCCTGCAGTCTCTCTTGGTTTCATATCTTATGGACAGAGCCTCTCTAGAGCATCAGACCACTTACATGAGCACCCTCTGTAGTCTGTCACTCATAGACCCTTTCTCTTTCTCTCTTTTCTCTCTCTTTCTGTTTATGGAGCCATGGTCATCATCCTCTCTAAATACTCAGGTTTGTGGTGTTGCATTTAAAGCTGAGCTCTCTCCTGTCATTTAAGGACGCTTGGAAAAGTTAATTGCAAATAACTAATGAAGTGATACATGCAAGTATGAACACCAGTTATAACACAGAACTGTGTTAGCTCTGCTGATAGTATTATCCCTTGTTAGCTTTGCAGGGGGTCACAGTGGTGACAAATGCCATTTGGTGAAGCTTGTGAAAGAAGTGTTCTTGAAAATTTTTTCATGATTTTTCCCCAGTGCATATGTGCATAAAAATGGTAGTGGAATAACAGCCATAAAGCCTGGAGGGGTGAAAGATGTCCAAAGGCTGGATAGGTTTCCCTGTCAGAGATGGACATGGAATGAGGATTTCAAAGTCCAAGAGTCCACTGGGAGGTTTGCCATGAGTGCAGCCAGCGGGGGAAGGGTGCGAGGCTGTGTGCTGTGAGCATGGGATGGCGGCGGGCAGGGAGGCTGCTGTGTGATCCAGTGCCTGGGCTCTGGTAACTGATGGCACAGGGGACAGGCTGCCACATTCCTGCCTGCCCAGCCCTGGGCTTGGCCCTGCTGCAGGCGTCCCAGCTCCTAAGTAGGGGCTTTGAAAGTGGCCGAGGTATCGGTGTTGATCAGTGTTGGCACACGTCTAAACCCTGCATTTTGCAAATGGTTTTGCTTTCTGCAGATTCTTGGGTAAGCAGAGTTGTTAGCTAAGAATGCTTCTAGGCAAGTAACTTACAGTTTCTCTTTAAAGAAGGCAGCAGCCGAGTCTGGCTGGCGAACATTTGTGTTACTGATTTTAAGTTTCCAGTCAGATCACAGAGACAGGCATGTGTTTTTAAATTACAGACAAACAGAAAAGCCTCTTCTAAGTACGAACGGGCAGTGATCACCGTTGGTGTTACATTTTTGTCTTCAAACACCATTTGCAGTTGTTTTTAAAAGTCTTAATGCGGCTTTTGGTCCCGGTGTGAAATCACTCATTTCCAAGGGTAAACACACAGCTCTCATGGAAATGAAAACCCGTGTTACTGTTTTTAGCTTGCAGCCAATGCCTTCTCTTTGCTTCTCTCCACAAACAGAAGGGACCCAGCCTCATCAGCAGTAACCCTTCTCTTTCACCCCTCTGCTTCGCAGGCCATATTTGAAGTGATATCTTCTGAGCATTCTTACTTGCTGAGCTTGGAGATTCTGATCCGCATGTTTAAAAATTCCCGGGAGCTGAGCCTCACGATGACCAAAACGGAGAGCCACCACCTTTTCTCCAATATCACAGATGTTTATGAAGCAAGTAAAAAGTAAGTGTACAAATGCAAAAGCTCTTTTTTGATTGTACCTCCCTGTAATCAAAATGTCTTTCAAGCAAGAGGTGAAACGTAGCGTACAAAATAGTGTTTTCACTGCTACCACAGAATGGAGCAACAGCCACAATGTAAAGGTTTTGTGGAAAGTTTGGGCCTGGAATGTAAGAATGTGCAGTCAAATGTTGCACCTGTTGTAAAAAAGTAATTGAATTGAATTGAATTGGAATGGACTTTGGTTCTCTCTGCACCAGGAGGTCTGCAGTGCTAAGGATTTGTGTTAGCATACGGCAAAAGTTACGGTTTTGATTTTACCAAGCACAGATTTCTGCCTGTGTGATACAACCAAGGCTCTGTTGGTTTGGATTGTATTTTCCTGCTATATCTGCAGGCAGCCCCTTGGGTAGGAGAGCTTTGATCAGTGCTGCTCGTGATACGTGGTGGTATTTGCAGGCTGTGCCTTACCTACCCCTCTCCTGAGAGGCAGGCTGCTCTTGTTTGGAAAAATCAAATCTTTTTGTGCTGGAATTTTCTGTTCTTACAATGTAACACCTGTTTTCTTTTCTGACTGTACTGGTTTAGTAAGGAGCGCTTGCAGGTAGGCTGAGCTAGAGATGTCCAGTTATATTTTAATGACACAAAACTGAGTTTCCTACTTGAATCTCAGGTGATTTTAAAGCGCTAAACATCTCTTCCTGAACCTTCATGCAAATGTGAAGATAGAAAAAATGGTGGTGAATGTGCACAGCAATTTGTCAGTCTCACTTTGTTCCTGTGTTTGAGCTCATGATTTGTGGAATAGACTTTGGTATTAATGTATCTGAAAAATGGTAGAGGCAGGAAGAATGTTGTGTTTTGATAGGAATAAGCATTGTTGGCTTCTGGATGGTTCTTAAGCTGGCTCTTGATACACTGAGCAGTCATATTTAGTTGTGCAGTCTATCAAATTAAACTTGCCTTGCCCCTGTTAAACTGTTCAGAGTTAAGCAGGAGTTTAATACTTGCCCTTAGGAGCTGCCTCTTGCCAGTGTTGTCCTAAGTGAGTCAAATCTGTTTACTTTCTGCTTGGTACTCAATGTGCAGCACGCTGCGCAGCTCTGCTATCTCCTATGTAAATAGCACAGGCACTGGGAGCAGCACTGGGCATCCGCAGCACACGGCAGCAGGGGCTGCTCAGATCTGCTCTGCTTTCTTCTTCTCTTTTTCGAGTTTATTTTTAAAATTCTTCCCTACAAAGTCAGCAATGGAGAGGACAGATACAGTATGCATGGAGCCTGACGGGGAGGGAGTGCTGGCAGGACTTCCGTGGTGGAAATGGTGTGAAGCCTGTTTTATTATTGCTGATAATTACTGACAGAATCATTTAACGTTGCCTGTGTGCGTCCATGTGCACTCAGAGTGTATTTCAGAGTTTCGGATACTGCAGATTCTTCAGAAATTTATTTCATGAGGTTTTGCTTAATGGTAACTTGTTGTTGCTTTAGTGTGACCAATAGCAGCACCAGAAGTTGAATTACTTTCACTTATGTAACTAAAGAATGGAAATGTGTCTGCTTCTTTTCTGGCACCTTATTTCTGGTTTGAAGTGAAGCTGAAGGATAAAATGTTGTTTGATCTCCTACACTGTAAGTGCCCCTTGCCTTCCTTGTGGAGTACAGAATATTTGCCTCCTTTCTGACGTGGGCAGTGGCTGGGGGAGCTCTGCCAGGCAGGAGTGTTTCTGGAATCAGCCTTTTCCACAATTCATCTTTCTTTTAGTCCCTTTTCTTTTGTCCCCTTTGCTTCCTTCTTGCAAAAATCATGTTTTTCTGAATTATTTTTCACCAAGCCTTCATTCCCTTTGTAGAACTTCTCAGGTTCCATGTTCTAAGCCCTGGTGACATCCTTTCTTGGCTCCCATTTCTCCAAAGCCACACGTGCTGTGGAATTTTAAATCTGTTTTGCAGAATTTGAGTGCTTGTCTTCTGTATTTATGCAGAAGTAGGGTTTTATCCCATGGAGCATGTATGGTAGAGGGTCTCATGTGTTGTGTCAAGTAGAAACCTGTGGTAGGAGCCATGCGATAGGCATTTGTTTGAGCTTAACACAGTCGTGGTCCAGCATCTCCCCGATGCTCTTTGCTCATCTCCTTTTCCTACAGTCGAGATCTGTATGTGGAAGCTGTTACTGGATCCCACAGCCACTGCAGGGAGGGGAGCTGTTGGGCAGCACTGCTGTCAGAGGTGCAGGTTGTCCAAGCCCTTATTTTCTAGTAGTACTTTTAAAGGCTTCTGCCTGTCTGCAATGTGACTTGTAAAAGTAGAGTATCATGTGCTGATTTTTTGCTAGGGCATACAGAAACATCATCTGTTAGGGGGTAACTGCTGTCTTTTTTAGGTAGCTTAATAGAAATGAAATGCTAACGAGTCTGGAGAATTTGCTGCTGCTTTGAATTGGTTCCATAAGCAGCAGTGGAACATAGCAGTACAGCTAAGCTGTGATTGTTTCTCCTGTTCTCGGTGACTGAGTCTTCAAAACCATGAAATCAATCCGCTCCTGAATTTCTCAGTTAAAATATTGAAAGCAGAGGTGGGGATAGCAGTATGTGCATGGGAATTCTGTAAAACCCTCTTGGTTTGTAGTCCTCAGAGGAAGTGGGTGGGGAAAAAAAGAATGGAAAACCCCACGCTGCCCAAAAGTTACATTCTTATTCTTTTTGGTCTGGAAAGTGTAATGGCTTAAGAGCTTGATTTAGTACTACTTGGAGTGAAATCAGAATTCATAACCCTTCTTAAACTTAAATGAAAGCATATTCTGTTTCCTGAATTATGCAATACTGTTAAACTATAACAAAATGTGCTCACTTTCTGCAACCTCACTGGTGTAAATAATGCAAAGGGCTTTAAGAAGCCTCTTTCTCAGTACCTCCACTCTGTTTCCAAGGTCTTGCACAGGAGCAAAACCCATCCTTCTGTTGGAAAAATGTAACAAAATCTGGCATCTGTGCCACTAGATGTGCTCTGTTTTAAGCTGCCTTTAGTTTTCTAAAAAAGACAAAAGAAATGCGAGTGCACGGGTGCAGCTTTGGCTTGCTCAGACAAAAGTTTAGTGAAGCTGAAGAGTGTGGTGGATAGAGGTGGAATCCTCAGTCAGAACTGCTCAGCAGTTATATGTAGAAACTTTGGCTTGGAACAGACTGAGTGGAGCTCTCCAGAATGCCAGGAGAGGCCCCTGCGCACACGAGGCTGTTGTAACTGAACAACACTGCCTTTGTTGGAAGATGAATGCAGACAGTAAGGATGGTCTCTGCTTTTGGGAGGTCACTGGGGTGCTGCTAACAGAGAAGAGTTGGTCTGAACTGTGCATGCAGCATACTTGGTGTGTGTTTGTTAAAACATCCTAACTCCTTAAGGGTGCATTTGCTGCGTATGCAGTGTGATTGCTCCGAGCTGGGAGGGCACAAAATCACACGAGTTGCATCCAGGCTCAGAGAGGGCTGTTATGCTGAGATGTAACCTGCTGGGCTGCCGTGGCTCAGCTTATTTGGAACTAAAAGCTTGTGTAGTGTGAGAATGCTGTGCAGTCGGTGTTAGCAGTCAGAACCTCAATGCACGGTGCAGGGAGGTCAGGTTCCCAGGGGGCTCCTGGGAAGGAGGAGCTCAGGGAGCAGTGAGGGAAACATCTCGAGCAACAGTTGCTCTGAAAATCAAACCCAGAGCTTTACAGCAGGTGAGGAGCTCTGGTGTGTTTCTTGCTCTGCCACTGGGGCAGCAAAGGGCTTATGGATATGCAGAGCATTAGCAGAGGAAGGCACAGACAGAACTTACCAGGACAAATTCAGACTGTTGACTCTGCATGTTGACTTCAGTAGAGAAAACTGTGTGGGTTGTGAGGTGGCTCAGCATCTTATCTGAGTACCTAAATTAAATTCTAATGTGTGAATATATCCTCGGATCCAGATAAGCTTTTTATAATTCCTTCTTCTGTAAGTTAGATTGATGCTTCATCTTTTTCCAATATCCTTACGTATGGCAAACCTTAATCTTTCTACTTGGGATAATGTGGTGTCAGTGTTCACTGAGGACATGCCTGCATTGGGTCAGTTGACAGTCATTAGAAGCACTACTTTTAGAGAAGGCAGGGTTTTGTTACTTAATTTATTTGAGAGGTCAAGCACGAAAAAAAAATAGCCAAGTACAACAATAACAGTAGTAATAATAACAAGAGCAATTGAAGGACTGTGAGAAGACCCCAGGTGATTGAGGTGAGCTGTATGAAAGCGATCTGTTCACAGGCTGCAGCTGACTGGTTGGATTTCCCAGTACCAGTGTGTAACAGTCAGTAGCATCCTCTGCTCCCACGTGGCCTGACAGTCTCAGTGCTGGATTTATCACAGTTGTTGCTGTAGCCAGCTGTGAAGGAAGCTGGTACCACTGAGCATGGTTCCCAGGTGGCTCAGTGACACTGCAGGGTGTTTGGGGAGCATTTTTCTGCTCCTGTAAGGAAGGCCGCTCGTGCTGGAGGCTTTGAGGTGGATAAATGTCTCCCTTTTCAGTAAGCCTGAGTGGCAGCGCTGTGTTCAGTGGACAGAGAAAGGCAAACGAGGAATTAAAACCCTCCTGCAGGATCTGAGTGCTGTGAGATACCTGTGTGCAGGTGGGTGCAGGCACCACTGACCCACAGCTGGTGCTGCTGATCCCTGGGCTCAGTGTGAGGCTCTGGTCCTCAACGTGTGGAGCATTGCTGAGTTTACTCTGTGATTTTTGCCTTTTTTTCTTTTTTTTTCTTTTTTTTTTTTTTTAACGTTTTATTGCTGATGGGGCCAATTTTGATTGTCAGGAGGCTCCAGGGAGCCCAGGGAGTGCACTGAAGAGCTGTGAGTCCAAATACCACTTTTTCTCTAAATTTTAGGTGCTGACAGAACACGTTCAGGGTTTTGTATCACACTCATGACTTGGGGCAGTGAGTTTATTTTGGTGTTTCATCAGCTTTCCTCCTTTGGTTTGTTTGGACATCAG